CATAGCTTCAGTCCGTGCTTTATGAACGACTTAAAGGAAAGGAACACCCGGGAACCAGTAAGAGTGAAAGTCAATTTCAAAGAAATACCAACTACGGAAGGGCTAAGTTGCCATTCATCTGTGTTTAGTGTACTTTAACACAGGCAGATGTAAGCATTCCTGTCCTAATATCATAAGATGACAGAAAAATAATCTATTTATTCTATCCTGGCTGTAGTGAATAGACAAGGACAGGAGTCCCTGTTTTCACATGCTGTCATGCTGCTGCACACCTTTTCATTTCTGAATGTTGTCAGAAGAAAATTCTCTTCAGAAGTAAACAGCATGAGTGATTAATGTATGAACTATGAAGATGCTTGCAAAACTTCTCTTTAGATTAAAGCAAGTACAGGCTAAATTTCAAGGCACTTTTTCTCACTATGGTTTAGTAAAGAGATGATTTAGATGTCTAGCACAGAAATGTGCTAGACTGTGATAGATAAAAGATCAAGAAAGCCTTTTTTGTGAATATTACCAATTACTGTGTGCTAACAAGCCCTTAAAAACCTTTCCAGGAACAGCCGAAGTTTTTATAACTCAGAGGCAAAGATCATCACAGCTACAGCTGACTTTTAACAAACTTCTTTGATATATCGATCCCAAACCCATCTCTGTGGATTCTCCAACAACACTGCTTGTAACAAACACATTTAGTCTAAAATGCATGGGATGGCACATAGTGTAAGAGAGAGTTCTGGTGACCAGATCCATTATTTTCAGTGAATGAGGGTGATTTTGTTAAGTTGATCGAGGTGATAGTGAAAATAAATCCTACAATCGCAGCAAGCCCTTGAATTTGTTTACAGATACGACTATTATGATCCTTACCATTAGAAGGATTTTAATCTACAATAATCGTAACACTCTGAGAAGGCCCTTAAACAACTTTGCAACTAAGGCAAAGTACATGTGCAAAAGGGCGAGCCCGAGCATATGTGCTCAAGTTCCTTTGCACAGGAGAGGAAACCAATCTGTCCATCCGGATAGATATGGAAGCGCAGAAGAGAAAATACAACACATCACAGAAATAGGCAATAAGATGAGATAGTAAAAACCCATCAACATATATCATCTGATCATGGTACAGTGTCATCTTCCAGCCTCTATTAGCCCTTGCTGCATCAGTGCAAGTCCCAGACACTTTATCCTGTTTATAATTGCTGATGAGCAGTAATAAGGCCTCCATGCCTCAGCTCCTGTCTGTTCCACTTCAGCGCCCACCTATTAGGTTATAACTTTTATTTACAGCCTTGCTGGATGCGCTGTTCTATTAGTACAGCTGGAAACTGAGCGGGGAGGGGGGCGAGGAAAAAGCGTCCCTAATGGGCACTATTATTGCTAGGGCTGGCGGATTTATTATGCAGCTCAAAGGCTGTTCCATCATCACTTCCCTGTCAGCGAGAGAGCTCCAAGAAGGTTGGATTTCTAACACAATGCCCTCCAGAAGTCAAACACTAAAGAACACCTTACAAGTCCCTTGGAACACCAATGAAAAAAATATCTCAAAGTTGTTTTAATGCTATAAACCCCTTTCAATGATCTTTTGTATATTTTTTGCTCAGGAGCATAACACTTCAGAGCAATTAAAAAAAAATAAAATCTAATTAGTGGTGTATGCCAGGTCTTTTTGTCCTTACTCAGCACAAACACTTATAATAAAGAATAATTTCTTCATTTTGGCTCTGGCTGAAAATTCGTGTACTTTATTTCCACAACCTGTCCTCTCGATTGCACAGGCTCAGCCTCAAAGTGTTTAGATCTCTGGCACTGCCACCATCAAGCACACGCCTCAGTACAGGCGCGTCAATAAACCCAAAAGCTCAAGAAGGACCATACACTGCTTTGCTCAAGCAGCGGAAGAATTATTTGCATCTAGACTCAAATTTTAAACTAGAAAAAGCACAGAGCAATGACAGATACTGTAATCGCTTATGCTGTAAATACCACCACACCCATCTGGGATGGCTGTCCTCATAAAATCTGAGCTATCTGCACAGATTGCTACACCAATGCGTGTTTCTCATGAACTGCTACTGGGAAATAAAGTACTTAAAAACTCACTTAAAAACTTCATGGATATAATGTATGAATTGATTGTATCATTACTGCATTTTTATCTGCCTGTTTCTACCACCTTCTCTACTGCACAATTAAAAATTAATTGAGTGTACTCACACAGTTCCACCAAATTTTCCAGGTTTCTTTAAGCTGCATGAAAATGCTTTAAAGTCTGGCTGTTTAGAACTGCGTATTAAATCATCATTAAAGTTGTACAGCAGAAAAAGGAAGAGTAATATGCCACTTAGTACTGCACTTTCTCAACACAGGTACCCAATATAGATGGGATCCGGATGCCCTCCTGACTAGAGTAAGCCTCATAGCATCTGCCATCAATCACAACATAACCTAACCATTAAGAAACAAATCAAAATACATAAGCAGCTACACACTAGGCCACACAGTTCCATCTTTTTTCCTAAAAAATCTTCAGACCTCTGGCTCTCAAAAACCTTCGAGGCACCATACAATCTAATGATTGCAAGGCTTTATTCATTCTTTCCATTATAATTCTTGTTCTGCGGGCACACTTTGGAAGAGAAATACTTTTCACCACAGTGATGATTCTGGCAAATGGGACGAGGAAAAAACCCCACTATTTGGTGTTATAATACAATTTTTTATCTGAACAGCTCCTCCAGCATGCAAGTTGACAAGTGCATGAGGTAAAAACTCTTTTTCTTTTGTAAGAGAACTTTTCCTGTGCCTTGGCAGATTTATTGTTTTGATCTTTCTTCAATGGTTACATTAATGCTAATAAAATATGAAAGGTTTATGTCTTCCTTAATATCCTCCTGATGGGAACCTGCTTACAAGATAAGTAGGTCAAATTCCTAATTTTCTGTCTCAAATGCTGATATATGGCAGACTTCAGGGAAAAACTATGCTTGAAGGGGGGGGGAAAAAATTACACAGATGAATTCCACCAAAACAGCCTTCCTTCAAAGCTCTCCCAAGCAGAAGAAATGTGGAATACTTACAGAAAAGAGGCTTACAGGCAATGTGTAGTATTGACAAATATTGGCTGTATCACTTTAATAGCTTCCTAGAAAGGGACACTAACCTGAAGTGAATGTAGTGTGAAATATTCATCTACATAGTCTGCTGCTTATGCCTGAAGATGTGTCACCATTGCTGGGTAATATTTTGTAGCCAATGCTTTCTTGTCAATTCCCATATTTATCTGGATTCCCACATGAAGACTTCGAAAATGTGGTAATTTATTTTTAAAATGAAATTTTGCTGAAAATTGAAGCTCTGGAGAAGATGACTAACTCCTGGTAACAGGTTTACTAGTGTAAGGGGCTTTAAACAAAATACGCAGATCACTGAGCAAATAATGTAAAAAACATTGCGGGAAATTGAGGTAATATAAAATCATTAGGTTTAGTGGACTGAAGATGAAAGTTGTGGCATCAAATTAAGATGATCTCCTTATTTCTAGCTAAACACACTAAATGATTAACATACAAGCATGTAGAGAGCTTTTACCGTTGCCATCTGACACTCCTAACAGCTGACTTAGTTGCCTTTTTGCTAAGCATATTTTTTTAAATGCTCATGTAATGTACTCAGTTTTCAGCATCTATTGCATCACAGCGCTTGAATTACCCTGCAATGAGGGCCAGAGTTAAACATTACAACAGCTAACCTATAAAGAGAATACAATTTAGTAATACCATGAGCAAAGCAGATTAGTTTTCTGGGGATATAGTGGCAAACATTCTGTCTTGTTTAGGTACACCTCCATAAGAAAGTAAAAAAAAGCCATTCCAGAGAAGTTGGATCCAGTATCTTCTAGTGCCAAACAGAGTTCTTTGGCAAACAACACTCACAGCATTGTCACAGATTATCATTTACTTGAGAGGTCTGCAAGTGCACCACGTCAAGGTAATGTAGCTTCCCTTTAACCTTCCTCTGCTGCAGAGCAAGCCAGCTGGCATCATCACATCTGCTGCAAGCTAACAACGTGCAACTACAGTTCAGATAAACATACAGGAACTTGAAGGCCTTTTTGAAAGAATGACTTCGGAGGAAATTTACCTTGAACTCCTGGAATAATAAGAGCCCTTAATCAAACAGGAATACCTTTCCTTTCTGCACACTCAATACAGCTCAGTTGGTACATAAATGCAAATACAGGCAAAAATTATTTTGGAAACACAGACTGCTAGAACTCTACCACTACCTAGATGCCTGCCACTGCCACTCCACAGGAGGTTATGGCTTCCCACAGTGGTGCTGATGGCAAGGATCATATGCATTCGCCTTAATCCATGCAAAACCAAAGCTGAAAGATGTGAGCCCATACGGGTAAGTCAGGCTGGCTGCCTGAGTGTCTGCTCACACGAGTCTCTGCGACAGATCCGCTGCAGAAAAAGCAACTTCAGCCTCGCAGTGACCTAACACATCACTACTAACACCAGCTCTGTGAGAGAGGATCCATGTAGACCCTCCATGCAGAAATAAAGTCATTGAAAGGACTCAAAACATGTCAAATGTAGCCTCAATGCAAACGTCAGCTGTTTATACTGCATCTACACACAGGGAAAGTAAAGTCAATACACTCCACACAATCTTCTACTCAATATTTTGCATTTAAATGGAGGATTTTCCAGAACACTATCACAATCATCAGACCTAAATCAAACCTATTACTCTTGTATGTCTTATGAAGATTAACAGAAAACATAGTATATTTATGGAATTACGTTTAACGGGACTCGGAGATGAACTATCTGCCATACAAATCCTTTTACATATACATTTCTGACAGCAAAGCAACAATATTTATTTTCATTTGACATTCACCAGATATAGTTACTACCACTGGCTATTAAACTGTAACCATACAGCTACATATCACGCAAAACCTAATTCCTCAAGCCCCGCAAAACACATACCTGAGTTGCAAGATCTTTTGGTTGGTGTGGTTAACGAGGCATGAGCTGTACTTGTGCATGGCCCACCTGGAAACAGGGAAAATGATATGTCTCAAAATAGCTCCTATATTTAACATTTACAACCACATCAAGATTATACTTTGGAATATAAAACGCTGAGAAGCACTTGTCTTCAGAAAGCACATATGGAAGCAGTCTACAGTATTTCTTTTGCAGTCAAATTCAAATCTGTCTTGTGCTGAAGAAACAGATGAGAAGTTGGGACAAAAAGACTAGTTATGTTATACTTCATAAATATTTCAAGAGGCAGTTTTAGGAAAGCACACACTGTAAATGCAATTTTTCCAGCGCTGGACAAAGGTACTGTTTATGTTAGAACAAAGCTAGAAATGCATCTAACCCACCCACAAGTAATGAAAGGGACAAAGTGATCGCTTCCCTGATGTCACCAGAAACCCTGTCACTGACTCCAGTGAGATAACAACTTTGCCTCTTGGCTCCTTAGGTTTCCAAACCATGGCACAAGCATAAGCTAACAAACTCTTTCCATGTTTAAGTTTTTGTTTGTTGAACTCTGGACTCTTGCCCACTCATCTGGTATCTGCTTGGCAGTAAATTGCGTTCTGGCTTTTTTCTTAACATGCATCATCGTTGAGGAGTTCTGCAGAGATCTTGTTAAAATAGCAACCAACTGAGTGTACTCAGAGACTTGCATTAAAACAAATAAATAAATGAAGATAAACCCCATATAGTGAAACCAAGACAAATTCATAGTAGCATTACCAGCAGTAACAGCACATCATAGCTTTGATAATTGGATATTATATATGGTATGAAGCTAGACAGTCTGAAATTAAGTTAAATCTAGCAGAGTTTGGCTATCAAAATACCAATAATCAAGTCTGCACTGGACTGCTGGTGATATAGTAGATTACACTTGCAATATAACAGAGCTCAGTATGACAGGAGAGCCTTTAACGTAAGTCTTCACACCCTTAAAAATACTTTTTCCCTTATCCTTTTTCCAGTCTTTGCATATCTGGAAAGCATCACAGTGGCTTTTCAAATATTTTCAACTCTGGCCAGGTAGCAAACTGTTGCCTTTTGCTTCTTTCCAAGATACTCATTCTTCAAGTTTTTCTTTCATTCCTGTTTTTCAGTGTCAGGCCTTGGGTAACTTTGTCTGCCCTTTAAAACTCATAGCATTGTAACACTGCAAAAAAAGAAAAGAAACTTTTGCAATTGGGAAGGAAAGATGTGAGGAAATTATGTCAGTCCATTTGATTTCAATGAAATGCACTTGGGAGAAAAGACCTCAAAGGTTTTACACTTTCCCTTTTTCAGAGAAGGACTGATAAGCTTCTTAAGTTTTCAGTTCTCTCAAAAAGTCCATCCAACAAACACACCATCTCATATCCATACAACAGGTTTGAAGGGGTGGTTACAAAGGCCAAGGAGTGTGTGTTTAGCCTGCAGGCAAACACTGAGGTTACTCATCAGGACCTGGCCTGAGATTAAGCAAAGTGAACAGGACACGGGAACCTACCAAACACGACATGAGAAACCAGTGCATGTCATAAGCAACAGCATAAGCAGCTGGCAGAAGCTAGAGACAGTGTAGCAAGGGATGGTTGGATTTTGCAGGCTGGTAAGGAGGGAAGAGGTGAGAAATGGCTGAACTCCACAGGTAAATGAAGGGGAGCAGCGGGGATCTCTCTGCAGAGACAAGCCTGCATATGAGAAGAGCCAAGCTTGCTTTTGCAGTGAGGAAGACTGGGAGGCATGTGGGGATGCCTTCCCTGGCCAAGCATCCCGCAGAGACAGATCAAGCACCCCAGTATCACCATCTTGCTGCCTGTTCCAGGCCCAACAGCATTGGCAAGCAACAACCAGAAATGGTCAAATAAGCTCAAACCATTCTTACAACATATCTTTTTCTAGGATAGAATATGAAAAAATGAATCATCTTAACCTAGATTCGTAATACTAACATAAAAGGCTCAAAAAAATGCTTACTCTAGGGTTTGGAGCATTTGGTAAGAAAATCGATACCGCAACAGAATCCTTACCAACTTTCCCATTGAAACCTTTTGGATATTCAAAAAATTACACGGCAGATCTGGTAAGTCAGTCTCAACTTTCAAAGACCAACTATACAGTATTTGGTTTCAATATAGAATTTGAGTAAACAACATATACAACAGGATGTTGAATATATCAAAACATATACAACAGGGTATGGAATAAACTGACTTTAGACCACAGCTGCATCTCAAGATGCAACAGCTCTCTTTAAATAATTTTAGTTACATTCTCCCAGTTTTCACTGAATAGCCATTGACAGGCATCATCACTGTGGACTATCAAATAAGACTAATCATTGCAATTATTGTACAGTAAATATTTACACTAGTTGATACTTTCAGCATTCAACTAAATATAAGATGTTCATTTCTCGCTCTCTAAAGTACAATAAATTGGTATGTATCTGTACTTCTTTGTGTAGGAGGTTTTTTTTACTATTTAATCTTCCCTCATTAGGTATTACTTTCATATAGCTTTGATTTGTATAGCACAAGTCCAGAGTTTCAACAAAGAATACCTTGAGATTTGCATGCACGTACACCAGTGCCTAATAACCAGCGAAGGCGGCATGTCCTCTGCAGCACTTCCTTCTGCTCCTGCTTTTGCTCCACCATTAAAAGTGTCATGCATAATTCAGTACCATGTAGTATGGGCTTGACTCTGCAATTCTACATGGAAGTCATTATGTTGAATCTTTTGGTATACATAATGGCTAATGGAGGCCTCTCTGCACTATTTGAACCAGGGAAATCTATTTCCCACAGCTTTGATAAAAATTCTGCATGAGAGAAAAGGGGAGTCAGATAGAGTAGAACACCAGTCCTTCTCCTGGCTATACACAATGGGAGGCTTATTACTTAGCACAATTCAGGATATATCTGCACCTTCATCCCCCTCAAAAATAAGTGTTTCAAGGGAATTCAACTGTGGTACATAAAATACTTCAGTGGACTGCGCAGTGAAAGGCCACACATGTCTAACTTCTAACATCACCGACAGATCTGTAGACTGTTATTTTTCTTCCTCAGCACAAACAAGATTAAAATGGAAGAATAAAGATATCTTTCTACTCTCTATCCAATTAAGAGATTAAACAATAGCCTCTGCTCCTGCTTTTTTCCGAGTGTATGGTTTCTGACATTTGCAACTCCTCTTCCAAACAAAAGCAGCCACTGCCCAGCAATAATGTAATCCAGAGATGATTAAAAATGCAAAATTACTAAAAGCTATTCTCACAAAAGAACTTTCAGTGCCTTTCTGCACTGTCCACCTCCCTTCTTGAAAGACAGTAACAATTGCCAAGTCCCACCTGTCCTGCAGGACATACCCTGAGTCAGAGCAACTTCTTGTTTCCCCTTCCTGAAGTCTTTGTAAACTAAGTGACTCCACTGAGTCAGAACTTCCTGTGCAGGAAAAGGTGAAATACTAGGGTAACCCCCTGCTTTTTGCTGTTCAAGGAAGTGCTAAGTTTGAATCCAGAGTCCATGTGTCAGGTGTATCCGAACAGCAGCACCTGGAAGCACCTGCTGAGCAGAGGAAGAGATGCAAAAGGGAGTGAAACCAAGCTTCTACAACAGTACAAAGTGTGGGGTTACAATAATACACTGAAACAATTACAGGTAACAAAATCTGCAAGCCAGATAATGAACAAACATCAAAAAACAAGTGAAGGAGCCTGCAGCTCAGTAACACTTGATCAGAGTGACATGAGCATGTCCAAACGCTGCTTTGAGCTTTCGTACCGTGATGGTTCCTTCCCAGAAAAAGCACACCAGCTCCATCCATGCAACTGGGTGGAAGAGGGTGACAGGTCAGAGCTGAATTTCCTTGGACAGCAGTGTTGCAGCCAGGAGAGTGAGAATTTCATGGCTATTTGCAATACAGGAAAGAATGCACCTTTGGAAACCTGTCCAAACCAATGATCTAGCTGTGGGCTTCCTGAATCGGTACAGACATAATCTAATTAATCTACACAATTGAGTTTGAAAAGAGTCATTGATTACAAACACCAATACGTAAACAAATGGGAACACAAATCTCTAAATTCAGTCTGCACACACAGAATACGCTCTCTTTAAGGGAAAAAAACAGAACTTTACTGCTTGTTTGCTGCAGAATGCACAAGCTACATGACAACTGAAGCTATGTCATTACTAAACAGGTAAGAGGATTATATCACATCCAAACACATTTTCAATTCTAGTTTTACAAACCTGCCATTATTTCCTTTTATGGATTTTAACCTACATGCAGCTTTTGAAGAAAGAAGTAAAACTGAAGCGCTGTGCTGCTGCTGCTGAATGCCTGGTAAATGTAACAACTATAACGAACTAAACAGAGACAGGATACAGATTCCACTTTTTTCCCTGCTACTGTCACACTCTGCTACCTGCTTTTCCTCAGTTTCCTCAGTTGTAAAATGGGCACGATACTTTCCTCCTTTATAGGTGTAAGTTGAAGTGTAATAATGTGCTTCTGAAACCAGCAGTTAAATTATATTTTTATAAATAATTTTTATGTAACCTTGATAGCCATGCAGCTCTGACCCACATTTTTCTTGTGTGACGGTGTTTCTGTTTCATGTTCCATGGGGTCCTTTCGCTTTAATAAATTGGACCCTAGGATACACTGCCTACTCTGCAGTGTGAAGTGACTATAAATCAGAGGGAACAATTAACAGTGGTACCATTCTGCTAGTCTTCATTATGTTTCAAAATTATCATGCCACAGACGTGGAATGAAGCGTTCATTTGACAAATCTATGTGCCAGATCTTTGCTTAAGATGTCAGAACCAACAGGAATGTCCTTTAAATGAAACTGCAACTGTAGGGATTAGACTGACTACAGAAAGACCCTCACACCCTGAAATGACGATGAAGGCGACACATCTACTAGACACTGTTTAGTTCAAAGTTCTAACTGCCTATGTCTTCTGTACTGGCACCTAATACTAGTGGCATTTCTCAAAAGACAATTCAAA